CCTGCCACCAGCGGCAGCAACGCGCGCGGCCCTCACTCCCAGGCATCCGCATTCTCTCCTAGCAGCTCCGACGGTCTCGGCGGCTTCCTCGGCAACATGCACGGCTCGCAAAATGGCGCCGCTTCCGCCGCCGGTGCCGGTGATGCCTCCAGCTTCGGCCGCGGTATGAGCTCCGACGGCGTCCTCATGTCCGGCAGCGAGGCAGAGACTCCTAATGCGCTCGAAGACCTCGCCTACTTTGCCAGCCTCCAAGCAGACATCCCCAGCCGAATCACGTTCCATCTGGATCCCGTTGCCCACCATCGTCTCCTCATCTTCTTGCAGTCGGTTAGCGAGCTGCCCAACTCGCCCCTCTTCACTCCGTCGGCGCTCAGATGCTACATCTACCTCTTCTTTGTCAAGTTCAACCGGCTCTATCCGCTCATCCACGAGCCCACCTTTGCCGCCAGCACCACTGATCCCATGCTCCTGAGTGCCATCGTCGTCATCGGCGCCCACTTTGCGGGCCTCCCCGCGCACGAGCTCGCCGTCCGCATCGCCCAGAAGATATGGGGTGCCGTGGTCAGTCTCGAGGACTTCCGCCCCGCCCGCGCCACGCTGCCCATGCTCCAGGCGCTGGTGCTCACCGAGAGCTTTGGCAAGGTGATGAGCACGCGTCCTCAGCACGAGATGGCGCACCTCTTCCACAACTTTATCATCACTCTCGCCCGCCGCAACGCCGTCTTCAACGCAAGCACGCAAGGCCACACACACTTTGATGACTCTGAAGAGTCCTGGCGAAGCTGGGCGAGAGAGGAAGAAAAGAAACGCATCGCCCTGTTCGAGTTCATGCTCGACGCACAGCATGCAACCATCTTCCGACACATTCCCTCGTTGTCTGCATTCCAGATCCAACTGCAGCTGCCCTGCAGCGACGAAGAATGGAGCAAGACCACACCCGACGCGTGGCACAGGCATCGCAAACGTACTGGATATAAGCCGCCGGGCCTGTTCATCCCCGCCTTGAAGGCGTGCCTCAGCCCTGCAAAGACGCCGCAAGAACTGGACGCCTTCCCGCGATTTGTGCTCCTGCACGGCCTCATGAGCATCGCCTACGATCTACAGTGGAAGCAAAATGTGCTTTTGGGCGCGGAAACCTCGCCAGGCGGTAGCAGGACCAACGAAGCGGGTATCGGCAACTGGAAGGACCGTCTCTCGGCAGCATACTCGTCGCTCCAAGCCCGTATGGACATCGCCTATATCAAGGCGGACGAGGAGTCCAGCGCCCGTCTCATTCACAGGGCGACTCCCAGCTTGGTGACGGCCGCCCAGATCGCCTTGTTCGCTGACATCATCGACATCCAGATCTATGCGGGTCTTCCCTCGGTGCTGGGCCGCTTCATCGACCGAGCCACTTTCAACGCCTCTCGGCGCTCGGTCAAGGAGTGGGCGCGCACCTCCGATGGCCGCACAGCCGTGTGGTACGCCGTCAACTTCCTCCGTACGTCCCTGCTTGGCACCGGCACCGAGTCGTATGGCACGATCCAGACCCGCGGCGTTGGCGCTGCACCCTCGACAGAGGAAAGCCGCGACGCCGCAGCCCCTCCTCCGGGCCTCCGAGATCGGGAGAGCAACGCCAACCCCATCGGCGGTGCTGCGGGCCGGAAGGCTTTGGATCACGAGTCGGGTCTGGACGAGGTGCTGCACCACCGCTGGTGTCAGTATCTGTGCGCCCTTGTTGTGTGGGCGTACGGGCATGCGCTGACGATTCCGCGCAACGGAACTACTGCAGCCGACGCGGCTGCCGGTCTCGGACGTGCCGGGGCTAGCAGCACCGCACCCAGCACGCGACCGGGCTCTGCACACCGCAATGGGAACTCGACGTTTGGCGCATCCGTTGCACACTCTCCAGGTGCGTTTCACGGCCAAGTGTCGGCCGAGCGCACTCCTATGGCCGGAGATTCGGCCAACGGCGAGGCGTCGGTGGGACAGGCGGGCGGAGCCGCGCAGAAGCCCGAAGGCGTCGACTTTCTCGAGCGCATGTCGACGAAGACGGCAGACGACATTGCATTTGTGGATTGCAAATGCTACACACGCGCCGTTTTGGAGATGGTGGAGCGGGAAGTGCGGGCCTCGCGCTGGGAACTGGGCCGGGAAGCCTCGGGCGTCCTTCGCAAACTCATCTCCAACCATTCGCTGCCAGTCTGGGACCGATCCAAGAACGCGGATGCTACGGCCGCTACGGGCCAGCTCGACCCTCACCGGAACGACTTTTCGTCTTTGACCATTCAGCAGCATGCCAAACCGCATCAAGTCAAAGACGACCCCGACGGACGAGCAGGCGCAACGCAGAGAAGCACATCCACTGCCACGCCACACGTGCGTGCTCTTGCCTCCAACGGATCTTCTTTCGGCCCGGCGAACTCGACCAGTGCATCCCCTGCGGCCAAGACAACAGCCTTGCCTGCGCGCGGACTCATGCCGAGCCCCTCTGCCGCCGCTTCCCGTGCACCACACACGGCACCATCGGGCGCCAAAGCAACCAGCGGCCCTTCGCCTGCTGCCGATTAGTATACATCCGGCAAGCTAATGATCTTCAAACTATTTCACCGTAACCGCAATTTCTGAGGTGATATCGGACCGTAGTGTGAGGCTGTTGGACGCTCATGTCTTCTGTTATCATTGGCTACGAGCACCATCCGGAGTAGACCGGGACACTCGGCATGAACAGGGATGCACGACTGTCGCGTGAGGAGCAGCGCCGCCTGGACGGGCCTGCCGCAACTCGGATCTGACACGCAGTCGAAAATTGCCCAGATGCATACCGGCCGCTGAGACATGTCGAGCTGTAAGTCACTGTATAATACTCCGCCCCGCCGCTCCACACGGCTGCATGCGCGAGGCATGCGTGCCGTGCGAGCGAGCGAGCGAGCCAGCGTCCCTTTCTTCTCGGAGCCAGTCTTTCGCGCCAAGACCGCACTCACAAAGTCACCGTGCTTTCTTCACTTCACCACCCGTCGCAAGCCATCCCATCCCATCAGATCGCCCACTGTGACACAGCGGCTTCTGACCGCAACCGCGCCAGCAAAGATGCTCGCCTCGATCCAGCACACGATCACGCTCATTCAGTCTTCCCTCGATGATCCGAGCATCGAGTGGAAGAAGCTCGTCCTGGCGCTTCTCTGGCTCGTCTACGCCTTTGAGACCTTCCTCTCGCTCCGTCAATATCGCCTTTATCGCCTCGAGACACCGCCTGCCACATTGGCGAGCCACGTAGACCTCGCCACCTTCAAGAAATCCCAGGTCTACGGCAGGGACAAGGCTCGCTTCGGCTTCTTTTCTTCGGTCGTCTCCCAGCTGCTCAGCGTCGCTCTTGTCTACTACGACATCTATGCCTGGAGCTGGACTCTGGCAGGCACTATCCTCACCTCTCTCGGTCAGAGCGATGCAGAGATCCCGCGCTCCATCGTCTGGATGGTCATCATGTTTGTGCTCCGAGAAGTCCCCGCCATGCCCCTCACCCTCTATCGCAACTTTGTCATCGAGGAGAGGCACGGATTCAACAAGATGACCCTCCGCACCTTTGTCACCGACACGCTCAAGGAATGGTTGCTCGGCTTTGTCATCGGCGTGCCCCTCATCTCGGCCCTCCTCTGGATCATTCGATGGGCCGGCTCCTCCTTTGTATCCTACGTGGTTCTCTTCCTCTTCTCCTTCCAGATCATCGCCATGGTGCTCTATCCCACCGTCATCCAGCCTCTCTTCAACAAACTCACGCCACTCCCGCAAGGCGCCCTCCGCGACCGAGTCGTGGCGCTCGCCTCCTCGCTCAAATTCCCGCTCAAGCACATCTACGTCATCGACGGCAGCAAGCGCTCCTCCCACTCCAATGCCTACTTCTTCGGCGTCATCCCAGGCGGCAACAAGCACATCGTCATCTTTGACACGCTCATCGAAAAGTCCTCTTCCGACGAGATCGAGGCCGTCCTGGCGCACGAGCTCGGCCACTACGCCAACAACGACCCAACCAAGCTCCTCGTCCTTTCCCAGGTGCAGATCTGGTTCACCATGAGCCTCTTTACCCTCTTTATCAACAACGTATCGCTGTATCGCTCCTTTGGTTTCCAAGTCGGCCCTTCGCTGTTGGAGAAGGCCGCAGGAACGCCCTCATCCCAGATCCTCAACTACCTTCCCATCATCATCGGCCTCGAACTCTTCCAGCTCGTCCTCAATCCCACCGACGCGCTCATCAAGTTCCTCCTCAACTCCGCCATCCGTCGCATGGAGTATGCCGCTGACCACTTTGCTGCCACCCTCTCGCGCCCCGGGCCCACGCCGTCGGAGCTCTCCGCAGCTGCCGAGTTCAATGCCGAAGAGAGCAACGCGGCCGCCAAGGTCGACCCGAACCAGAAGGAGGAGTACGTCGACCTGCTCGGCAAGGCTCTCATCAAGCTCCACGTTCACAATCTGTCCACCATGCACCACGATCCCCTCTTCTCCGCCTATCACTACTCCCATCCCACCCTTGCAGAGCGCCTCAACGCTTTGCAAGCCCTTCGCCCCACTCTCAAGAAGCGCGCTTAAGCGTGCAAGTCTGTATCCCGCTGGGCTGGACCCTGCGATAGGGCACCGCACTGTACAGCGTACTCCTCTCTTCAACCCGAAGGAATCATAGGGTCAATAGGTGACCGATCTCGAGCATCATATAGTGCGCGTGAAGGCTTCTTGAACTTGGTCTGATTGTGTCTCAGTGCAAGACGGCAATTCCCCGGAAATGCTGTTGGTGTGACTGACAGTAGTCGCAGCTGCCTGTGCTTCGATATTACCGCCGTTTTTCCTTCGAACGTCTTGGGTGTGCGCAATGGATCGTGACGTAATCGCTTCGGCAATTCATTACATGTGAAAGCGCGTGGTGCCATCTGAGCCATGGCCATTGCTGCTAGATTGTAACAAGTGACCATCACAGCATCAGTTGGAGAATCGCCGGACAATTGCCCACGCACATCATCACGAGCCAAGGCATGAACGATCTCTCGAGGGTCTTTGTCTTCAAGATCCTAGCAACGGTCGTCTTTTGGTGTTTCCCTCTGATTCTACTTCCTCCAGTCGCGTTGGAAACACTCGGCTTTCCCAAGCAGGAGTCTTACATCTTCGTCCGGTTGCTCGGCTGGGCCTATCTATCTCTCTGTGTCGGATATTACCACGGGTTACCTGCATCACTCGACAATAGACGCTCCATCGGCCCGATCCATGTTGGCATTGTCAGCAACGGGGGCGCTTCAGCATTGCTGCTCTGGTATGGATTCCATGATGCATGGTCCAGCTGGGGCGCCTTTGCACGGCTCGTCATGTGGTCGTCCGCTGCAGTCACCGCTCTCATCACCGTGGGCTTATATATCCACGGCGTACAAGGCAAGCTTCCTAAAGCAGAGTGACTGGACATCGAATGTACAACCACGGTCGCCTCTCTCTTGCCCGCATGCTACAATAATCGCTCTCGGGTTTGCACTGGCCAAAGCGTCTCAGTGAAGTGTTTCCCCACATCATGTTTAGGTGCAGTACCTCAAAGTCACTGGCCTGCGTACGGTGCGCTTGTTTTGAGAGATCGATTGCTTCGAATGTGATGCCGTGGGCCATCAAAGAGACACGCTAGTGCTCGCAAAAGTTGTAGGTGCCCATTTGCGACTCTGAGGCCTGTTCTTTCTTGGTGCGCTCATCCATCAGCTCCAGTCGAAGAGCCTTGGCCTCATCGAGATCCATGAACCAGTCTACGTGCTCCATGATCGACTCTTTGATCTCGGCGGGCAGCCGCGATCGGATGGCGGAACCCGCGGTAGGGTTGTCAAGAGCGCTCTCCCACCATTCGCGTTGCTGCGGCGGAACGTTGCGCGTCGAGGCAAGGCGATAGTTTGGGTCCACCAGCCAGAGCACCAAGAATCGACGGTGGCCCGGCTTGGACTTGTCTGCAAGTTCGAACGGCTCAACACGATGCTGCAGCGTGTTGGGAAAGGCGAGCAGACGGCCTTGCGGCGTGGCGATGCTACCCAGCTCCTGGACCCTAGGCTCTTCTCGCAGCGAGTCGGTGCCAAAGACGATGCAAAGGGGCGAGTGGTCGTCCTGCTCGTGTTCCGTCTCCACTTCATCGAGCTCGGCGTTGTGTCGGAAGCTGATGCGAGATTCGGTCACGTTGTCGACGTCGTAGTAGATGATCGAAGTGGCGACAATGTGCTCGTTCATCATGCCCTCGACGTGCCAGCTTCCACCGGCGTACTCTGGCTTGTCTGGGCTCAGCTCAATGCTGGCCAGCTTGACGATCACCTGGAGGCCCCGACTGCGGAATTCCTCTTCGATGTTGACTTCGTAGTAGCCGTTGGCCAGGGGTTCGCGTTTCTGCCGCTTCTTCGCGTGCGCCTTCGCGCCATGGGTGCTTTCGTCGAGAGGACGCCAGTGCAAGTAAGCCTCCTTGTCACCAGGTTCCGGGTGGATGACGTGGCGTGTGCGTCTGTACTTCATGAGCGCAGCGCCGTACAGACCTCCGGCTTCCTCGATGGCGTCTTCCACAGATTGACACGGTCCCTCTAGACGCTCCATTTCCGGATCGTCAGGGAGAGAGAAGTACTCTTGCACTTTGGCAAAAGCCTTGCGATAGGCATCGGAGTCTTCGTCTTGGTCTTCGTCATCGAGCAGACCCCGAAACCATTCCGGCTCATCATCTGGTTCGCAGTCGACGCTGTGGCATTGAATGCGCAGCGGCACACGGCCGAAAGGTCCGCGCAGGAGCACCTGATTCCACGGCTCGATCGAGGCCGAGATGGCTTTTTCGATCAACCCGTAGAGCTGGCGATTGCGCTTTGGCTCGAGGTTGTTGATGTAGGAGCGGATCCTAACGTCAGTGCCGGATTCACCAGCAAAGTAGACGTCGCAAGGAAGCCACTGGAAGCGGTACGAGTAGAATTCGGCGATTTCGTGCTCTTCAGACCTCGGCCAGGTGTTTGCTGGAGGCGCTGGTTTGCTCTGCTCCGGAAAGGGTGTACCGCGGCCGCATGCGTCGACGCAGTCCTCGACGCCCACGCTGCCTTCCGGCAAGAAGTTGCTGCGTCCGTAGACGAGCGGGAATAGCGAAGGATGAACGAGATTGAGCACCTGGTCGTTGGATCGCGGATGCCAGTCCTTTCTGGCAGGGTCGATGTCGAGGAGCGGCCTCACAGCTTGGCGGAGATTGGTGAGGACCTCGCTGGAAAGAAGGACGTCCGACTTGACGCACCGGTTCTCCGAGTCGAGTGCATGGATGAGTCCGGTTCGCTGGAAGTACAGCGCTTTGTCGCGTAGCTCGAGGATGCACCAATCAAACGCCTGCGCAGAAAGATGAGGCTCCTGCTCCAGTGCTTCGGCCTTCCACTTTGCGACGATGGCGGCGTCATTGACCTTGCGCTGCCAGTCCAACTTGTCCGTGAGTGCTTCCATGACTCGGATCATTGCAACCTCGCGGACAGTGAGTCGATTGGAGAGCCGTTCGGGAAAGACGGCGCTGCCAAAGGCCTTCTCGTTGTCGACATGACACCGAAGATCGATGCCATAGCCACAGACCTGGATCGGCTTCCCGCCGCCATTGTCGAAGGCCTCAGGATCCGTACACGCAATCCAAGCCATCGTCGTCACAAGGGAGAGGGAATACCGGTTGATGCGTCGTTAGAGGATTGATTGCGGTGAGGAAGTAGGGTTTGAAGGAGGCGTTCGGGCAAGGCAGAGCCAACCCCGCGTTGGCTTGAGCGCCAAGAAAACGCGCGGAAGCGCAGTTCGGGAGCGTGGAAGCGCTGTTGGAGACAAAGTTAGCCGATGTCGCACGTGTGAAACTGCGAGTTTAAAATCTGCCTTGGCGCCGGGTCCCGGCATGCGCAGGACGCATTGTTCGCACCCGCAAAATGGCGACCAGAAAAAGAGCTTTCGCCAAGCCAAGACGCTTCTTTGAAGAGTTTTTTTAGGGTTTAGGGTTAGGGGGTTAGGGTTCCAACGGACGCCATTGGGT